TGTGTGTGTGTGTGTGTGTGTGTGTGTGTGTGTGTGTGTGTGTGTGTAGGGGGGTTCTGTCCTGCTGTTTTCAGGAATCCACCTTGTGACTAATGCCACATCCTTGGTTGTAGCTGAATTTTCATTTCTGGGATCTTCAAGGTTGGAAGGGCATGTTGTTCCTTTCTCAACTGGTGGCTTCGGACTGGGTTTTGCTAAATGAATCAGAATGTGGACAAATACATTTAGAAATCTAAAAACCGGTCCTGGTTTCTGCATCTGCTCAGTCAGTCTCGTCACGTTCCTGCTGTGCTGGGTACAGACACTGAAAGGTGCCACTTCTCAGAGAGGAAGTCAGAATGAGGATCCCAGGCTTGGAGGCCCAACCTCACAAAAGACCCCCAAGATGCCCTCAAGTCTTGCCCATTTCCTCTGCCAGCTCAAAACTCTACTCCACCTGCCAGGCCTTAAGAATCCACACCCGAACTTCCCCTCTGATACCGTTCTGCTGTCCCAGGGACTTCTGGCTGCTGCTGCTCCCTGACCCTTCCCCTTCGAGAAAGAATGTCGATAAGTCTCACAGGATGTCCTGGGACTCATGATTCTTCTGCCTTGATTTCCACGGTGCTAGGATTACAGGCCTGTGCCACCAACTCTAGGATCCTGGCTCTGGAGCCTCCTTGGTCATGGTAATAAACCACACATTCTTACACTGTGGTCCCCAAACTAGCAGCACTGGCTTTAGCAGTGATCTTGTTGGAAACACATTGAGGGGTCCCAGCCAAGACTGGCTGTATTAGAACCTCCAGCGGGGGGCCCAGCATCTGGGTTTTAAGAAGCCCAGGAGGTCACAGACAGCATTGCCTGAGGGCAGGGCTGGATCTCAAAGGATAGGAACTGGACACCTGGGTTACTGCAGTGAGCAAAGAGCTCAGCTGTGCTGTGTCAGGAGCCTCGGAAGAAAACGCAGCAAAAAACATCGGGCCATTTTGCCACCCAGTGCACTGATGTTAAGTGACTTGGAATCCAAGTCCTGGAGATAACTCACAGGACCGATGGAAGAAGCCTGTGAAACTAGTGCCTCTCGCCTGGGCGCGAATCTGGCTGAGGCCATGAGCAAGCTTGCAGGCTCCTTCTGCCTGGTGGAGCAGCTAATGCCGACTCACACATGCCCTTAGGTAAGAGATGGGTAGATCGCAATTAAGGAGATTATCTTGGGTTTATGGGACTCCTTGCTGGATTTCACCCCTTGCAGGCAGCAATCATCCTCTGAAGCTCTAGTAAACAGCATGGAGCCTGGCATAGAGCAGGGATTCCACCAGTTCCCACTGAGTTGATGAGGTACGAGGCATGGTCCAGCAGCCACTTCCAAGCCCCAAACCCGTTAGACCACACAGCTCCACTGGCATGCTCTGACCAAGAAGAGGTCACTTGATGACATGGCTGTTCGTGAAGGAGGGCAGAAGTGCAGAAGGGACCAGAGAGATCCAGGGGAAGAGCATATTTTCCACCAGTGGTCCAGCCCTCGTTTGTGTAACAGGCACACTTCATGCTGAGCCTTTTCTAGTTAGGATGCCTGTGGGCTTTAAAGAGACCTCATAAAGGACTAAGTCCCATGTGGTAGCCTCTCTTGGTGCTCGTCATGGCCCTGTGCTGTCATAGAAGGCACACTGCAATCGTAGGGCTCACAGAAGGTGAGCTGGCTCAGGGGCCCCTGCTGAGACCACTAGGGACTAACAACAAGAGGAATTGCTCACCCCAGGCCTGTGGGGCCCAGTGAGAGGCAGGGTATAGCCTGCTGTGGCTAAGGGGCGGAGATCAGTAGCCTTAACCCACCTCACCACCTGTTTCCTTGTGGCCCTTGAGCAGAAGACGGCGTTGGCATTTGTTTTATTTTTTTTAATGTTATAAGAGATATTTTGATCATAATTCTTTTTCTTCCCTCTACCCAACTTCATTCTTTCTCTCTCTCTCTCTTAAAAATAAAAACAAACAAAAACCAATCAGACAAAAAAAAAACTATCAAAATCAAAACAAAAGGCACACCATAAAACCTGCAGTATGGTTTGTGTTGGCCAGCTACTCCTGGACCTCGGGCCTGCCTTGGAGTGTGGCTGACAGACCCAGAGACACTCCATTGGCGATATTTGCTGATTTTGCCTTTCCTAGCTTTTATTAATTACAGATAGCTTCTTGGTTAGGGACAGGACTTTGTGCCTGCCTCTCCTCCTCCATGCTGGGTTTTGTCTGCTTTGAACCTGTGACTCCTGTATGTACAGTCACAGATGCTGTGAGTTCATGTGTGTCAGTCTTGTCGTGTCTGGCACATACCTGAGCCCACTGAGACTGCGGCTTTGACCTTTCTAACTGGTTATATAAGCTATTACACACCCTCCACAGTTTTGCCTCTTATTGAAGAAACCTCCATTCTTGGCTCTTCGGGTCCTTCTAAAAAGTGTGTATGGACCCCACCCTTTAGGAATACAGTCCCCACAGGGAGACAGGGAAGTGGGAAGGGGACAGAAGAAACAAACACCCCCACTCCCCCTCATCTCTCTCATGTCCTTCCCCCATGAGCCAAGGAACTCTATCTGGTGCAGAGGCAGCATGCACAGGAGGTGAGGAAAAGAGGCCCCGGAAAGATGGCCTCTCCATGGTGTGTCCACCCTCCATTCCCACTGTGAACACGGAGAACCCCACATCTCACACAAAATTTTCGGCAGATCCCTGGGATTGCATCTTGCTCTCCAGCAAACGTGGCTGGAATCATCCACGGGGTGAAATGGGTTACATGGACGACCTTCTTCCTCCACTCCTGAGGGCTGAGAAGCAGGTGGGCATGCTCCATAAGCAGCCCAGCAGGAGCTGAAGGGTAAGGGTGACAATGGGCTCAGCCTCCTGTACCCCCCATCGTACCCCAGGCTATCTTAAGACACCGACCACATCAACCACACCACTCCCATCCTCGTCCAAGGCTCCCGATGGGGGAATTTCCCCTGCTGTTTCACTGCATTTTCCTTTGCTTGGTTTTCTCTTCCTCGATTTACAGCACCCCATGCTTCTCATTAAACAGAACTGGTCAGTGAGGACAAGTTAAGTCATGCCCGGCTCCACGGCCACCAGCGGAGTTAAAGCAGGGACCCGTTGCAGAGAAGCTACCCATCTCTTTTTCCAGTAGCTTCTCTACACGTCGGGAAGTGAGAGGAATGACAGCTAAATGGCCAAGCCAGAGACTGCCTTGACAGACAGACGGACGGGCTGCCCCCTGCAAGGGGCAGGTTGTGAGCGACAGGTTGTGGATTAAACTGCCGTGTGTTTCAAGGTAGAGAAGCTCAGAGTTCTGTTCAGAACACTGCTGTACAGTGAGCTCTCTTCAAGTTTCCATCTCAGAGCTGAGTCCACTAGCCGGGACAGACAGCCTCAAAAGAACAAAATGAAAAAAGACAAAAGAAGACGTGCAGGGAGTCTCCAGGGGGCTTTGAATGGTGACCCGCCCGGTCTCACCATTGTGTGGGCGAAGCTGCGCAGAACTTCGGTGCCCTCCGTGCGTTTAAGCTATCGCCCGAGGGGGAGAGAGGTATGGAGTGCCAGCCTGGCCCTGGGGAATTTCCCATTTTATAGTCAAGCCGTGTCAACTTCATATGGAAGCAGCTATTTTTAAATGTCAGCGGACACACCCTGGCTGGGGCTCTGGGGTTTGTGGTGGAGTCTTCGTCACAGCTTCACAGAAGCAGCTGGCCTTTTGCCTAGGGAAGGCAGAACAGAGTCTAAAGTACATGTTGTTACAGGCTGTGACTGATGGACACCCGAGTATGACAGAGACAGTGGCCTCCCCCCGCCCAGGCCTTAGGGAAGGGTCCTCGTGTACGAGCACACTGTGGCTTTAACTGGCAGGTTTCTGCCGCATCCAGAAAATCTGGGCTGTGAGCTCTGGGCTCTGTCAGGAGCTTAGCTGACTGCAAAGGGTTTTGTTGTTGTTGTTGTTTCGTCCTGACTTAATTTTTAAATGTATTATTGAGCATGATGGGGAGAGTGGCACATGCCACAGCTTACGTGTGGAGGTCAGGACAACTTTGTGCCATCAGTCAGTCTCTCTTTCCACCTTGTGCAGTTTCTGGGGATCAAACTCCAGTCATCAGCCGGTGAGACTGCTCCTGGGAGCTGACTTTTGTTCTTAGCCAGCAATATGACCAACTCTCTTCCCAAAGGCTTCCTTCAGCTCTTGCCTTGGAAGCCCCCTGGGTACAGGTGCGGAAAAAGGCAGAGGCTGTGAAGTTATCCACATTCTTTCTAGCGCCACAAACAAGGGGCTACAGGTTCACACATGGGACAAGTCAGAATTCAGAAGGCTGAAGAGACGGTGGACTCGGATGGCCTCACCTTGCCCAGAGAAGCTAGAGAAAGCAGCTCACCTGGGTGAATGGAGCACATGACACATGCCAGGCTGGCTTCCAGGCACCACCATGTGATCCATAACAGGAATAAAAGTAACCGTTGGCCAAGCAGGAAAATTTTACATCAAAGCATGCAGAGAAACAGGACAGGGGCCTGATGGGTACGTGTGGGTAAAGAGGGCATTTGATTCCCCCGTGCTTGCTTTTGGCTCCTGTTACACACCTACATCATTGTTGAAATCTGGAAGGCCATGCCATGCCCTGCTCTGGACCTAAATAGGTCATGCCATGCCTAGATCTGGATCTCAAGAGAGGCCCTCGATGAAGACAGCATGCACAAAGCCTAATATTACATGGGAGAGTCAGGCCATGGGGCCAGTGGGAACACGGCACACAAGTCAAGCTAGGCAGAAGGAGGGAGCAAAGAAGCTGAAGAGCAAAGCAGGGAGGGAAGAGAAAGCAGGCCAACCTCACAGAGGCAAGGCCAAGGGAGAGACCCCTGGAAGGAGAGCCCAGGGGAGCTCCAGAATAGGAGGTGTTTGACCATCAAGATGTCCTGGGTGGCCAAATGAAGAGCCATCCTGAGGGGATCCCTGGGCCAGGGCACAGCTGGAGTGTGGTGAAGAGGGACGTGACCTCAGCCTGGGAAGAACACAAATGGAAAGTGTGTGCGCGCCAGTGGATGTCCACAGATTGGAGTCACTCTGCCTCACACTCTTCCATCTTCCCACCACTTCCCAGATTGGTTTTACTTTGATTGCAGATATCGTGTGATGAATAATTTTCCTGAGATGAGATAGCTTCAGTGCTTAATTTTTAATTTAGCGTACAGAGGAGACAGCATTATTAACGCCCCGCTTTAGGCAGAGCAAGCCTTGGGGAGCTGAACAGCTCTGTGCTGGGGCTGGAGGAAAGGCGGCTCAGCTACAGCTTCCTGGGTGATCTGGGTGGTCACCTCCTCCACCTCCTTCCAGGACTGCATATCTAAGTAGCTCTTGGCTGTGGGTGCAGCTTTCCGTTTCTGCTGAGCTAGTTAATTCCTTTCTTCAATAGGCAAGTTTTCTTCTTTAAGCCTCATGCCATTGTTCCCCATTTGTCCAGGAGTGGAGCGACCAGCAGATAAGGCAATATGGGTGGGCTGATTTCTGAGCCAGTTATTAAGAGCCCCTCCTAGAAATAAAAAGAAGGCATTCACCCACCTCATATCATGAGCAGTAAGGGCCTGTCCCCTAAGAACCGTCAAGGAAACACTGAGCTAACACCGAGCATTGCCTCATGCAGAAAACCATGCCAAACACACCAGGCCTGTCCAGCTAAACCCACTTCAGAATATTGTCAAAGACTTTTATAGATTCTTTGTGATAGGAGATGAGAGGCTCAGCACTCCGCAAGATCACATTTAACCCACAGGAGCTTCAGCATTGGCTGGCCAGGGTTCAAGAGTTTGGTTGTTCAGGTGTGTGTCTAGCCCACCAGAGAATGACTTCAGAACGTGGGGCCCTTGGGGATGATCAGGGCTTCATGCTGAGGCTGAGCTCTGCAAACGTCCTCTGCCTTTCCGTCACCATCCTCTAGGACACCGCGCACACTCACGCACCACACACTCACGCACCACACACTCACGCAGTCCGGCGTACCCAGCACCATCTGAAGCACACTTCACATGGAGGCCCAAGATGTGTACGCCCACAACCAAAGCACAACCTTCGCAAAATAGTGCTACCCTCATCACGTGCTCTTCCCCCTACCATCTGTTATTATAGCCCTCAAAATTTCTAGTCCTAACACAGAATCAATCCCGTGAGAACCTAAAGGGTTCCGACCCCGCCACCGGTGCTCCGAGGTAATCGCTTCAGCCAGACCTTTGTGAGTAGGCTCTGCAGCTGGGGTGATGGGGCACAAGCTTTGGAGCCAGGCACACGGGCTCTAACTGTGGCGCCAGGTGATAGGGTCTCTGTGTATGGGAAGGTCATTTGGTCACTCTGACGCTCCATTTTCTCCACACTGCTCTGGAGACTGCTGAGAGAATTAAGTGAGGGGATATGATATGAAAACACCCAGCACCTAACACCAATGGGCACCCAGCACCCAGCACCTAGCACCAGTGGTCACTCAACACCCAGCACCCAGCACCATGCACTGAGGGACAGGCACACAGAAGTGGACAGAGCATCATCGCACACCATTGCTCTGGTAAAGTTGGTGTTCCAGTGGGCAGAGATACACAGCAAGCTGATGGCCACGGAATATGGCAGTGGGTGATATCACTGTTATCATAAACTGTAGGAACCAAGAGGTTAAACAGCACAGGTTTCTTACAGTTCTGAAGGTCAGAAGGCCACGGCAGGTCTCCCTGGCTAAGATCCTAAGACTCTCTTTCCTTGTCCGGATCCTGGAGGCTGCCTGCACTTCAGAGACGTGCTCTCCATCCCTTCCGTGGCCAGTGTTCCAGGGCTGAGTCTCTCAGGGAGTCACCGCAGACACATCTCTGATCCTGGCCTTCGTGTCTCTCAGGAAGGATCCGTGTGGCCTCTTCAGGCCTGGGTGGACCAGGGTTTCTCATCTCCATAATTTAGTTTTGTCAACAAAGCCCCCTGTGTCCTATAAAGTAACGTAGTCCTGGGTTCTAGAGAGTCCTTTCAGAGGTGCACTTTGTCATAAACTGAACCCCTCTAGCACCTCCATATACAGGCCTTTTACCGCCACCCCCACCCCGGAGAGGACAAGGAATTGTCCTACAGTTGTCATCATTGTGATCTTGTATCTGGGAGCCAGGTGGTCAGAGGACACCTGCTGGAGGATGGTGAGAGCAAAATTCAAGAGGCTGAATGAGCTTCGCTGTGGCAGGCTTGGAGCTACAGTGACCTTTCCCTCCCCTCAGTGTGTGTGTGTGTGTGTGTGTGTGTGAGTGTGTGCAGAAGTTGACACTGAGGCAGGGTCTCTCACTGAACCCAGAACACTGACCAGCTAGGCCAGCTGGCCAGCTTGCCCTCCTGTGCCCTGGGACGGCCCGCCTGCAGGCGACATCTGCACTCAATCCTCAGGCTTGCCTGGCTGCCAACACCGTACCCCCTGAGCCACCTTGCCCGCCTGTCCCCAGCTCAGAGTGTACCCACCCTTGCAGTAGAGCGGAGACTCCCTAACTCACACTCCCCATGTCACCAGGGCTGAGTTTCCACCGTGGTGGGAGAAACCACAACCTTCTTCATATCCACAGTGGCTGCCCACCAGGCTTCAATATGGAAGCTTCTTGCATTTGTTTTATTTCAGGGAAAACTCGACGCCTTGTGGGTCCTGCTAAGGAAAGGGTATGACCGAGTGTCCGTGATGAGGCCACAGCCGGGAGACACGGTAAGATGCGTCGATGGTCACATGCACACACTTCTTCTCCGTCCCCTATTTTAGTCATGCCGGAATAACTGCTCGAATACAACTCCAGCTATTATTTCCTGTGGTGACAAATCAGATACTGAATTTTTAAAATCCTCGTCATATCTTGTGTTTTGATTTGCCTCTCTGAAAGGAGCTTTGACAAAAATATACTGGGTTTAGCTTCCTAGAACTTGAGATTTTCAGTCTGGAGTGCTGTGAGTGGCAGGTCTAGCTGGGTTCTGCTGCAGGCAGCCTTCTTTTGGGAGGGAGGGTCCTCATCCACACAGGACACAGGAGAGACACCGAGAGCACCACAGCAGAGGCATGATGGCTGCAGAGGGAGCTGTCCACAGGCGCAGGCCAGCTGGCCAGGACTCTCAGTAAAAGGGGGGGGAGCGTCTATGCTGATGGGTGTTTGACCAAGAATTATCCGGGGCCAGCCTGAGGTATCTCCCGATAGGGGGCGTTACACGGGTAGTGCATCTTGAAACTAGAAGGTAGTGTCTTCACTTTGAAAATGGGGACAAGAGAAGGTGAATGATGCCCCGCTTAGGAGAAGGGGTTTCTCATCCATAGATGGGAGAGCCAGGCTCAGAACGAAATTCTCCCTCAGCTTCCGGCAACCTGCATCTTCCTTGGAAACCTGGCCAAACACAAACACAAAATAAACACAAAATAAAGGTTTCTCATTTAGGACTCCTTTGAGTCAGGCCGTCTTGAGCTTGAGGTCACTTTCTTTCTGGCTGGAGAGGCTTCGGGCAACCCCTCCCCCCAGACCTCTGTGTTTCACCTTTGTACATTGGATAACAGTCAGCATGCAGGGGAAGAGCTGGCCGGTGATGGTAACACCTTGTCTTAGTGCTTTTTCCATTGATGTGATAAAATACCCAAGAAGAGCAACTTAGTGTGGGGACTGGAGAGCTTCGCAGCAGTCACAGCCCGGGCTGCTCTTGCAGGGAATCAGCATGGCTGCTCGCAGAACCTTGAACACGGATACCCTCCTCCCGCCTCTGTGGGCCCCAGGCACATGTGTGGAGCACATACGTACACGCAGGCCAAACACCCACACGTATTGAAGTAAATAAATGGATAGCAACTCAGGAGAGGAAGGCTGATTCTAACTCACAGTTTGAGGTTAAAGTCCATCGTGGCAGGGGCAGGCACAGCAGCAGGGACTTGAGACACAGCACACAGCACAGTGTCTGAGGCTAAGACCCTCCACAAGTGTGGGGGCTAAGAGACACCCCCTGTACCCCAAACAGGTGTGCCTGAGGCTAAGAAACTCCCCCAGGTGTACCTGAGGCTAAGAAACTCCCCCAGGTGTACCTGAGGCTAAGAAACTCCCCCAGGTGTACCTGAGGCCCCCCTACAGGAGTGCCTGGGAGAGCTCTAGGACAGACAGGACCACTGTGGCATGGCCATGGCCTCCCCTCGGAGCACTCAGGCGATGACTACAGGATTTATGGGGCTGACCACATTTTCCACCAGCTCCAAGTCACTCCAGCCAGACATGTGCCTGTGAACAAGGGTCACAGGTTCTGAATTTCCCTCTAAAGCAAAACAAAAACAAAAGTCACCTAATTACAGTCTCATGAAGCCTGGCAGCTCCCCCACCCTCAGCCCCAACCCCACCCCCAGGCTCCTGCCTAGTCCTCCTCCTCTGGTCAACACACCTTGAAGGACAGATAGATTTAGGTCTAGTCCACAGTGAAATAGCTGTGGAAACTTGAGCCCGTCCCTCAGAGCTGACCCCGCCCCTCTGGACAAACATGGAGGCTGCCCCTCCTGACACCCTCTTTCAACCCGGGGGGGGGGGGGGGGGAGGGGAAGCTGACAGTTCATGGTTCCTTGACTCCCGTGTTTCCATATGGGAACATCAAGTTCACTAGGCAGGTGTCCCTTCCTTGCCCCAACCTCTGCTTCCAGTAAACAGCCAGTGGGGAGCCCTTCTTGAAACACAACTTTCAGTGTGTTCTTCTTGACTTCTGTCTTGCAAGAAGTAGGGGGAAAAAGCCTATCATCTTGGATCGCCTAAGAAACGCCTCCCTTTTTATTCCATCTGCTAGTCAGCCCCTTTTCTGGCAGAGGAGTGCCAGACCAACACAGTGCTGAGACCTGACCCCAAGGTCCCTGCAAGCTGGAGTATTCTATGTGAGCCATCTCTTCAGCACTAGTGATCCACTTTTCTATTGAGTATTTTAGAGTTGACTTTTCCAAAGACACTCTCTTAAGTAAGGATAACTAAGGTTACCATACCAGAACAAAGCAAGGTACACGAGCAGAGCCTGGTGTTCCTAGAACAATCTATGGTTCCCAAACCACTTAGGCTGCACTTTGTGTCTCTATGAAAGTTTTAACAGGCTGCTGGGCCCCACCTCAGAGATTCCTGCTCAGTCCCTATGGGCAAGAAGGGGATTAGCATTTCCAAAGTGATTCCAGGTGACATTAACGCTGTAGAGCTGGGGTCCACCCTTAGAGCCAGTGAGAAAACTGAGCTCACTGCCACCAGAGTCCCCCCAAACCCTGAGAGCTTCAATTTTAAATATATATAGGTATATATATGTATATATATATACATATATACATGCATATATATGTATACATATATATCTGACTGTAAAGTTATTGACTGTGAAGTCATTGCCTTTTGTATTTCCCTGTAACCTATTGGCCCACTTGGAGAATATCTTATCTAGCTAAATAATAATAAGCTCTGATCCACTGCCAACAAGTCTCCCTAGTTGGAGACAGTCCTGTGACTAGACACTAATTTCAAACACATTGTTAGGTGGGAAAGGTTGGGCATGTGTAGATCAGAGGCTCTGGTTCCAGTGATCTCCAGCCTGGCTCCAGGCCGCAGAGAAATGGGCCCCGCCCCAGTGATTGTGTTGACTTGCTCTGGCTGAGGTCTGGGCTGCCTGGGTGGTTCTAACCGGCAGCCAGGGCTGAGAACAAGGGAACTAGTTCCACACAGGTGTCATCTCTTTTCTTTCTGAGCAATTCTGAACTTTAAGAGTATCCCGGGTATTCAGGGAGGCATCGGTCCCAGCACCTTTCTTCCCAGGAAGGGGTGAAGCCTAAATTCTAGCTGCTGTTCCTGTTTAGGTAAGGAGGATAACCCCATCTATGTCTCCGTGGATGGATGGCAGCGAATCTTTCCACAGCCTCAGCCTTACCCGCCTCTCTGCCCCAGCGTGAACCCCAGTCCCTCACGTGCTCACATGCTCCCGGATGACCCGTGGAGCTAGACCTTTGTTTTGTTTTTAGCTCCTTGGTTGCTCTCAGAGCTGGCACGGGGAACTGCGGGGGAGGGGGCTGGTACATTCCATTACTCCATGCACACAACACACTCTGAGCTTGTTTTGAAGACTAGGAACTCCTTGCAACCAGGAAAGGAAACACACTGTAAACGCACATAAACAGTGCCTGCTGCTCATCCAGCCCTGGAGGTTGAGCAATCGGAGCTCCAGCCTCAGGGCTGTCTCTGCAGAGCTGTTTGCAACAAGGGAGCAGGGTTGGCCACGTGGGCAGTGTGTGATGTCACAGAGAACAAAAGGGGCTGGGTAGGTGTCCCCTGGGGGAGTGTCCTCAGCGTGCCTCCTCTAAAGCAGATGCTCTGCCTGTCCTGTGTACTGACATGGGGAAGCCTGCCTACTTCTGTCTCTTGTCTCTTCTCCTTCTTGTGGCCTCCATTCCCCATTTTCCACCTTCTCGCTTTCCTTTTTTTTTTTAATTGTTTCCTTCACTTCCAATTTCTGTTGCTTTTCGTGGTTTTTTTTCTCTCAACCAACAGCTGCTGTACTCCCACTAAGAACCCATTTCCCAGATGGTAACTGATGATGCTCTAGAGAACAGTACTTCCTTGTGGTGTCTGGAGTTCAGTGTATGTGCTCTGCCCTAACTGTGAATGGTTACAGGAGCACAAAGCCGGTCCTGCTGATGTGGAGACCTGTGACATCCATTCTCAGAGCAGAAGCTAAGGTTCAGCAGGGCTCACCTCTCTGCAGGCTGGAAAGAAGAGGACCTGGAGGGTGAATTTAGGGTGTCTAGGTTTGACCATCCACTCAGGGGCCCTGAGCTCCTGCCTGGCTCAGCAATTAAGCCCCTTCTGTGAGCTGAGCCCTAGGGTGCTGGGTATTGTATGGCACACACTGAGTAGGGAGCAGGGACAAACAGGCAGGTCCCCTGAGCACAGCCTGATGTGAAAGGCTCTGGGATGTGGCCGGAACTCCCAGGAATGCACTTTGTCCTCAGTGGAGTCAAAAGTGGCTGCTAAAAGTGACATCGGAGGGGCATGAGAGAGATACTCAGGCAAAGAGCTTTGAGTCAGACTTGAAGGAGATGTCAGGTAGAATGGAAGAGAGTGAGCCAGGTAAGTTAACGGTCACAGGCCCCTACCCAGGGACAGCGTCGATTCCCTGCTCACATGAGTTAGGTTCACAATTGTACTGCAGGAAGGGCACACTGCTGTGGTATGAACGAGGTGGCAGACATGGATGGCAGTAAGGAGGGTTGATCCTGAGAGCAGGAAGGACTGAGACGGTTACTGGTTTGAGAGCACCCGAGCCAAGGACTGTAAGTGTTGACTCAAGTGGCAAAGCTGCCTCTGCCGCCAGTAACAGAAAGAAGAGCGCTGGGAGGGCAGAGGTGGGTGCTGGGGTAGGGGTGGGGATGAAGGAAGGCTGAGACCAGGTGTGAATGTTTCTAGCTCAGGAGCTTTCAGAAGTTCAGGGTTGTGCAGGGAGTGACACATGCATGCCTCACCCCTGCCCCAAGCCATATGGGAAACGAAGCAGGTTTGAGGGGAAACAGGTTAAGCCTGGAATTCCCACGGCCAGTGCAAGTCCTTTAAGTGGGGTGGAGAAAGGAACATTTGGAAGGCAGAGGCAGGTGGATCTCTGGGAGTTCAAGGCCAGCCTGGTCTACATAGTGGGTCCCAGGACAGCCAGAGCTACAAAGGGAGACTCAGTCTCGAAAAG